AGGACCCAACATCAGTCTTTCTGGTGAAATCCTCCAGTTTTCAGGGGGCGAGGGAGGAACAATCACATCACTCCTGATTGGTTCCTCAACTGTTCTCCAAAGATGGAAACAATAGCCTGGATGAGAACAGAACTGTGCACCCGGGGAGCTGTCACTGTCTTTGCAGTCTGGTCAATACCAAACTGTTCACTTGTGCCTCGTAGGCATCTTTGTCTTTCACAGCCTCCAGACAACACTCCGAGAGGAAAAGAAATGTGAGCAGGTGCATCTATTAAATATGTAAAATACACCTCTTCCTTTCTCCTCACTTAGAAGATGGATTTCTTAAGGGTGTGGAAAGTCACCTAACATAAAGACAGACAGGTAGAAAAAATATCTTCCTTGCCTTTTTTTTTTAGCACACAAGAATGCAAGTGGGCTCAGCACATCAGCTTTCTGCAGAAGATAAATGCCAGCCAATTAAAAATTCAGTTTCTTTTCTTTAAGCTAATTCCTCAGGTTTTTGCTAATTAGCAACTAATAGTTCTGTCATCTGAGCTGGGAAACATAAGGAAGAATACCAGTGGTATGTTTTCAATCAAAGCATTTACATGGAGGAATGAATCATAGTTTCCAGGAGGAATAACTGCTTGGGAGCAGTTGGGGGCATAAAGAAAGCAGTCTTCACACAACTATAAAACTGGAAAAGAGACCTGAAATTTTAGAAAAGGGGGCATCTTTCTAAGCCCTCCCTCACCGTAACAAAACCAGCAGGGGACCTATATGACATGATGGTGATTCCAAGAAACTCCCCACCAAGAGCCCAGCAGGGATAGTTAAAAAACTGCACTCCACAGTCCAGAAGACAATGCAACACATGTTTTCTGTAACAGGGAAGCGAATAAAAGTTAAGTGTCGGCCAGGGTACAGGAATGCTTTAACTATTATGTCACCTGCCTTGTCAGTTTATAAAAGAAGAAATGCACAGTGGTAAGTGAAAGCAGGGAGTGATGGTGGTTTGGCATATCTGGCTGCAGATGAAGCAGGAGCAGAATAAAATCTTTGCTAAGAAATCTTTGGGCTGGAGATGGGGGTCGTCATCCTGACTCCAGGACAAGCAAGTCAGAATCCCCAAATCTGGTCCCTCCCGTGCCCTGCCCAATTATAAAGCAAGAGCGATCCCACAGCAGCCAGCCTGTCAGCACCACCCCAGGTCTGAGCCATGCGGCTGGAACATCTACTTTCTTGCCTTGATATACACCCCTTCCACAGCTACCCTTGGCGAGAGAAAGCCCCCGGTCCCCCCTGTGAGGATTTTATTCCAAACATATGTTGCAAATGTTTGAAGTGCCCGCTATCCTGGGGTTTTCTCTTTTTCTTTTTTCTAAAAGTCAAACCCACAAAACCCAAAATACTTTGAATCCCGCCTAAGTGCAATTTGTGAAGATGCAACATTGCCTACCCAAGTATAACAGAGCCTTAAGCAATAAAAATTTTACAGATGTCCTTCTGAGGGGAAAAACGATTTTCCTTTTTCCGGTCTTACAGGAAGCCTGCCCACACGTTAGAAATACAAAGCTAGTATATATAGAAGCACAAATTAGGCATCTTGGAACGTCTGCGTTTTCCAACCACAGAGAAACGCAGGAATTACTGTGAGAGTTCACAAGCCCAGCTACACTGGATTAGAGAAGTCTTTCCCTCCAAGGGTCTAGTGCGGCTGGCAGACGACTCAAGGGAAAAGGGAGTGACCTAAAAAGATGTCTCTGAACCTTTAGCTACTGAAGGTCCACAGTCAGTTTGAGTGCTTGACAAGGCTGCCGACGGAGACAAGGTAAAGAAACTTGGCCAAACTTTTGCACCTCATTTGAAAAAGAGGGCACTTTTCTCACACGCTAAAAGATTCTTGGAAGATGTGTCAATTTCAGCTTCCCATCTGTCATTTACCTGGATGATTAAATCCATGTCAGATAGGTATTATTACAAAGTACCTAAAAAAGCACTCATTATACTGGTAGAAGATTAAATAATCCAAGTGGGGGCTAGAAAAAATAGAGTCATGTCCTACTGACTTCTTGAAGCTTAGTTTAGGACACCTTTACATCATTTACCATGAACACTTAAATACTATACCTTTCACTTTTCCACAGGCATTAAGCTTGTATATGTCATATAAAACACTTTCTGGTAGGAATTTTAAATGTTAAAACTACTGCAACTCATGTAAAAGGCTTTAAATTTCTCTGCTCCTCAAACAGGAAAAAATGACAGTCCGTCCTTTAAGATTCAGTGAGAAAGACTTCTGATTAGAAGACTACAGCACTCCATGCTAACCCCACTCTTTCCCTAAGAAAAGATTTTTTTTACAATTCACTCCATCTCTAATCTGTGTTTAGAGAAGACACTGAGCCTGGGGAATGAGGAAGGCAGGTCTGACAGAGAAAGGCCAGTCTACACTGAACCAAACACAACTGCAATTCTGACAAGACGCCTTGGTTTGGTGAGTGAACATATCACATACAGATGGTGGTGGGGACGATGCTGCTGCTGCTCATGATGACGAAGACAGAACAGGAAGGAGAGGAAGAAGCAGGAGAAGGAAAACGAGGCAGAGAAGAGAGAGAATCCCTAGTGATTCAGATGCATTCACCACAAGCCAGAGATTGTACAAAATATTGGTATTTTATTGGCACTGTCTCACTTAATTGTCCCAAGGACGCTGTGGGGCTGGCAGTCTCACATCACTCCCATTCAACAGCTGAGAAGGGATCCTCAGAGGGATCTTAGAGACAAGCCCACTTGGTGACAGTCACGAGGTCAGTAGGTGGCAAGGTTGGAACATGAGTGCCTTGGTTGCTGAGCGACTCTCCAGGACTCCACGTCCATATGATGGATGTAACGATAACATTTATTCATGCCCAACTGAGTGAGTACCTTGGAATGGTGGGGCAGAAAAGCATTTGCCATTTGGTGATAGACAACCTACCTCACTTGTAAATTACCCAATGATTTTATGGTGGTTTGAACAATACCGTGGGAAAAGCTGAAGCACAATCAACCTATAGGTGTGATGTCTCTTCAACAGAGTGACAAGCAAGGGGTCCAAGAGCCATCAAGAGTTTTCCAGTGCCCTGTGCTAGTTCATACTCCCACTGGAGGTTGGAGAAGGGGGTCACACACAAGGACCACCGAGCAGGGACAAGGGTCCCAGGCATGCAGAGATCCCAGCCCCTCAAAGGATGAGGAGAGGACTCAATGGGCAAACCGTTAAAACAAATGGGCCGAGAGCAAGCTGCACGTTGAACGGCACAGAGAAAGTTAACGGTCATCTGCCTACTTCGCTCAGCTGTCCTGAGCAATTAACTATTCACTAATTAGTGGGCATCTGGAATGAAAAACAAAACATAAACATGAAACGGGGAAAGTCTGTGTTCCCATCCAAGGGCACAAACAATGCAGGGCACGTATGGCTGATAATCTAGACTTTATCCTTTTTCAAAAGTAAGCATACTCTTGGGGAATATTAATATAGGTAGGGAGCATGTAGAGTCCCTCATATTTTCTGCATGGATGAGATCTAATAGAGACCCATCCACAAAAATACAATGTAGAAAACTCAGACATGGGCTTGGAGGAAAAACCCTACTGACAACTATTGTAAACTCTCATTCCAGAAATAAAGGAAAAATAAAATGAAATAAATCTCTAATGAGGAAAGAAGAGGAACACACACACTATACCTCGTCATTTCTGTAACTGTAGAGGTGAACAACTGCAGCCATAGGCCTGAGAAGCACTTTTTAAACAGAAAAGTTGCAGGCTTTTTGAAAAACTAACAAGAAGCCATCGAACCTTTTCCTCTATGCCTCTGACCACTTAAAAAAAAATTCTCCCCCCACTGAAAAAAAGTAATGTATCTTCCATCTTTACCAACAATATAATCTAGTTGGGGAGGAGGGGGGAGCAGTTGCTGAGACTTAAGGTTGTGTGAAGCACTTTGATCTGCGCCCTGATGAGGGAACATTCCCCTCTGCTTCAAGCCAACTAATGAAGGGATGAAATTAGCTTTTATCCTGGGCACTTTCTTGAACCAAAAAACATGCACTAATCAGCTGTCCTCACTCATCAGTCATCTGGCTAATGACCTTTTGCCTTAAAACACTAAAATTTCTGAATGATGTGGAAAAAGGAAAACACAAACCAGTCCCCCTCTGTGGCACACGATGGATCATCTGGAATTGGAGCCGGGAAGGTTAAACAGCAGGTCTGTATCCTGGCAAGGTGATAAATCTGTAATCAAGAGCTGCACACTTGGGCATCTCAATATGAACTTCATTACTCCACCACTGAATTATATATTTTAACTAGAACCAGGCCGGAAACAAGCTTAACCCTTATATAGTTTCTTTTGCATTCTGCCTTGGGAGAAAACCATTCCGTGGGCGTGTTCACCATCCTAGTTCATTTCTTAAACTTTCTGAGTGCAAGAAGAGGAGCTTACGAGGCCTCCGGTCTGAGAATTCCAGAAGAAAGTAGAATACACAGAAAAATCTTCCACAGGAAGGAATTTGTCCCTGGTTGGTTAAAAGAGGTTTGTTTGTTCCTCAACAATAAAGCAAAAATATATATATTAACAAGGGGAATATCTGCCATTAAAGACATCTGCTAATGCCTCCCACTTTAATAACTGCCCCCTCCTCAACCGATTTTCATCCAGCAGGGTCTGCTTGGGTGGAGAAAATCTGGTTTCAGTTCCCAGGAAAGGTCTGTGTGGATTCGCCACAGACGGACACCTTCCTGGCAGCCGCCCCCCAGCCCCACAGGTCCAAGTTGCTTAGAGATGGAAAGAAATGGTTTCCCTATAAAGAAGGAACAGGATGAGGGAGAAGTTAAGAAGTACAGTAGACAGTAAATTACCCATTTGCATAAAACAGTACAAGACAAGTAACTAAGTGCACATGCGCTCACACACAGCCTGCCGTGGCTCCCGCAGCACGTGCCACGGACTGGGGGCGACTTACGGTAGTGAGGGTCCATGTAGCCATTCCTGGGGTCCATGGCAAACACAGCCCCGCGGTAGGGGACGGAGGGCTCGGCCAGGTGGGGCAGGGACCCATGGATCTCCTTCTTGATCAGCGAGGCCCTCTCGTCGCTGGATGTGGAAGGCTCCTCGCTGATCTTGCCGAGCCCCGGGGCAATCTGTGGCTGCATAGCGACTGCGTTTCTTCTCTCTCTGTGATAGGGCTGTCCAGGACTTTCATCCTCTGAAAACAGAAGGGAAATGAAAACTCTGTGAGCACTTTGAGGAGACACTCAAAACCCATCATCAGTTGGGGCTCCCCATGCATCCATCTCCGCACCTCCCAAAGAAGCCTACTTCTCATTCTTGGCAACTTTGAAAGCTAGCCATGACTGGAGGGTCTCAAGCCAAAACTGTTTATGAATGAGGGTCCAAGATACAAATCGAAGGAGGAAGGGGAGCACGAAATGAGTCTATTAAATTGAGATGTAAGCAAATTCTCATCCCCGGCTTCCAGACAAATCTGCTAGTCAGGTTTCCCATTGCCAGACTAAGGCTGTGGATTGCCAGCTTCTCCTGGCCTGAGGAAGCCAGGTCTCCAGTGATCCAGGAGACAAGGGACCCCTGTTTCTCGGAGGAGGACCTGTCAGAAGGCAAAACTTGTCTTTGTGATTTTAAGTCAGATGTATGATCCACCGAGAGATGAAACAGTGCCAGACATGGGACAGAAAACCCACTGGTTCCAAGGGATAAAGATGGCAATCATGGAAACCTACAGTGCCCCTTACAGGACACTTCCTGCTTTGGCCCACCGAACCGAGCTGAGAGCTAAGAGGAAAATGGGGATAGAATGTGGGTGTGGAGAGCATCAGTCACACTGATCTACATACACACTCTGGTGGGCTCCAGACATCGTTTCAAACATGTAAGAAACGGCTTGATGAAATTCAAACCCCCTCATGCTTCTGTTCCCTTTCATCTGTAAGAACTTTCCATCTGTCCACTATGGTTCTCTGCAAATGTGATTGGATGGCCTTTCCGATAATAGCAGATCAAAGACCTGTGGCATAAAATCAAACCAAACTGGCAATCAGAACCCACAACAAGTGGACCAATTCATCTGTAAGAATCATACGCACGCTCTCAATTATGCCCATACAAGCTCTGTGTTTGAGCCACAGACTGTGTTCTGGCAGATAAGAGCTGTTGGGAAAAAAGCTGTTGGGACACTGCTTAGACACCTCATTTGAAAGCTGTTTCTCATTCCTGATCCTAAAAACAAAACAAAAACAAAAAAACTATAAGTGGGTATAAATAATAATACTGTTGTACTATTTAGCTGAACAGATCTTGTACTCATCTCATCTTCACACACAAACTTCTCTTCAAAATCCAAAAAAACCAGAGGTATGTCTAGCTGAGTAGACATACTCTCTTAAAGACATGCTCTCTTAAACTTATCTTCAAAAAAAAACAGGAAAAAAGCATGCTTTAGCAATTTCATAGCTCTTTTGACAGATTTAGAAGAATAGCTATGAACATGAACTAGTATGAAAACACAAACTCAAGTAACAACAACTCTTTTGTGATGACTAATAATTTGAACTAGCCAGTAGCAACTCTCATTTTCCTGCCTATGTTTTGGGACCTGAAGAAACAAGCAGTGTATTTTTTTTTTTTTTAGCCTAGCAAATGACTTTCAAAAGCAAATAGGCAATGTATGTTCTGGACTTTACAGTGATTTTGCTGACTACTGCTGGATAACTGTGAAATATTATTTTAGCATTATTTTGTGCAGATCCCCACCCTCAAATCTTGTAATGATGGGATAAATTATGAGTTTAATCTATCAAGTAACTACTAAAAAAGAAAATGGTCACATTTTCACACATTGATCTTTACAAAAGCAATTCCAACCATGCTTTCGCTAGTTTAAAAACAAACTACAAAAACAACAACAAAAAATCCTACATTTTAATTTCTCTTTCTAACACTTTTAGGCCCTAATTCACACTCAAACTTCATTAGCAGTAAAGTTGCAGGCTGCAGAATGAAGGTTTTCAGTGATGTAAAGACAGAAGGATGTCAAAAACACTCAAAACTCATAGTTGATTTATAAAAACTCCCACCATGGCCAGTCATATTTTCCACTACGGTGTGCCTGCACAACTTCCAATTTCAACTTTGCACTAAGGTGTAAATTCTGTAGAATGGACCTGCATTTGGAAAGCCAGACAGATCATACCAAGAGGGACTGTGACATGCAATTAGCATTCTCTGGGAAAGATGAATAACCAAGTCCTACTAATCTGTTCCACGTTTAAAACAGGATTCCCTTGACTTAATCTTCCTAGAAGAAATTAACTTTTCTTCTCTTAAAACTGCATCCCTACAATAGAGTGAGTTTCTTAGACACGATGTCTTTACGGACAAGCATTTGAATCCAACTTCACAAATAACTGAATAATGGGCATGGACTAATCACAGCCCTCCCACCTTCTTCTCCACCTCATGGGAGAAAGAAGCAGTTAAGAGGAGGCGGGTAAGTGGAAACGGGAGGGTCTTTTTAGCTAAAAATTAATTTCTTCAAGAGAGTTAACACAATATGTGTGAATATCAAATTAGAACAAGAAGTCAGCAAAGTTCAAACACTTTATACTGAAAAAAATGAACTAATTCTCTTAGTAAAACGCAGGCCGGGATTTTTTCATGTGGAAACTTTCATCAGACTCACTCTTATACGAGTCAAGACTCCCACATTTTCACTTACTCTCCCTCTCCAGAAAACTCCAGCAGGCGATTATTTCCTGAAGTTCATCTCCTATACTGAGTCGATTCTGAGGGGCATTCAGGATGAAACCTTGACAGTACACACTCCCAGAATACAAACAGCTATGAGGCTTGAAAGCATGCTATCTACAGTGAAAGGGAAACTTTCCAAGCCATATTCCTGCCTGCTCTTATAAATTTAGCAACCACTCTAGCAAGCCAAAAAGACGAGAGCTGTCTAATCTTGCTCAGTCGAGCTGAGTTGTTCAATAAAGTTGGAGAGTCAGCGCAGACAGGCTACGCCAGGCCAAATTATTGACAGAAACATACTGTCCACCATGGCAACAAGCAGAAGTCGGCTACAAAAATGTAAGCAAACAGCCCAGTCCTCCAGAAGCATCTGCCAGTGGGTTTGAACAGCCAAACACAGGGCGACTGTTCAAGCCTCTCTCGGTTCAGCAGCTGCAGGCTCAGAGGGTCAGACTGAGACATGCAAGTCTCTAAAAAGCTTCAGGAGAAAAACTGTTTTCAAAACTGTCATCAGGATCCCACTTTGGATCCCCTGCCTTCTGCAGATCTGTGCTCCAGTGGAAATAAGGGAATTCCCACCCACCGCAGGGAGGGCTGCCCCCACATTGCATTTCAGAAGCTGTCCCAGGTTTTTCCAAACTCATCCAAAGGCAACCCATATTGCATCAGACGCGCTTGGTGCCATAAACTCTCACAACTCAAGAGTGGCTTCATCACCAGCATCGCTTAGACCATTTACAGGGAAGGTTTCCAGGAAGTCACCGTGTGGTGAGAAGCAGGACTCAACACTCTCTCTCACTCACACACACACACACACACACACACACCTGTGCATTTGTTCCCAAACTCTTGATTGACTTCTTCTAGAGACCCAGGACACAACTGCTTTTTTGCACTGGACTGGACAGAAAAGTTTCAGATGACTGTTCCCATGGAAAGGTAAAACCCTGCACCGCATCACCGACCAGGAACACTTCCTGTCCCCCTGACCAAATCAGCGGGTGAGGAACTCAGTGGTTCAAGTGCTCACCTCTTTGAAATGAATGTGGATTTTAAGCCATCCTCTGCAATCCCATTTTAAAAGCATCACGCCTCTCTTCCCCGCAAGACACAGAAGACACAGCGAAAGCGAACAGATGGATACTTACAACTCAGTCCCAGGCTCTGGCTAGCTACTTTCTGCAAACTTCTCTTTCTGCTGAGCTTTCTCTAGCAGTGCAGATCTGCTAAGAACATTCTCGGTGTCTCCCTGCCTCCCTGCACCCTGGCCCTCTCCCTCTCCCAGGCAGTGCTTGCTCCCATTAGAGGAATTAAAAGTGGTTGGAGCCATGCTAAATTTAACAAGCTCATTAGTATTCTTTCTGAGTGCTTCCGAGTGAACTCTCTCTATTCAAGGCACTCTCTCCAGCAGAAGGGTCAGGCTGGCTAATCATTAAATCAAACTAATGTCACCCTATCACAATCAGCCCCAGAGAAGGAGGGTTTATTATTTCAGTTTATGCTAAATAAACGGTTTTACAAACGGTCCCCAAGCAAGGTCAACAGCAGCTTCAATTACAAGACAAACTTAACAAGAGTTGCAATAAACCAAGGACCCCGTATTGACTTAAGAACAGGCTCGACGCCACATATGGCCACTAGCGGGGTTGTACAGGAATGCATATTGGAAAATAAAGGAAGAGGGGGCGCTTCTTTCTTTGCCAGAATTTGCCACTGCACAGCGACTGTTCATTCACCTCTCTGCAACCAGCTAGCCGCTCAGCTCAATTCACTCCACACAAAGGCTGGAGCCCAGACCTCAATGGACCGAGTGAAACACGTTCAGAACTAGGCTCTCTATTGTGACTGAATTTCTTAACATCTTTTCAAAAAGCGGAGAATGCCTTGAGGCTAAAGGAAGAAACAGGCTAATGGTGAATTGGGAATTCAGAGCAAATTTCAGAGCCCTTTCCTCCTAGCTTTTGAGGTTGAAAGCAAGCTCTTTCCTTTCAAGTTTCAAAGTCCTTTTTCCTCCCGCAGTGTCACAGAAGGATTTGAAAAGAAGGTAATTGTGCTCGCAGTCTCCCTGATCAGAGCTTACGTCCTATTTCTGGTATTTCGGAATACTTCTTGCAATAATAGTGCATATAGCTCAATCCCTTAACCGGCCTGCACTCTGCAATTGCTCATTAAATGAACAATTGCGGGTATAAAATGCCTTTTATGTTCAAGGTCTGGATATAAGATAAGCATTCTAGGACTCTAAATTTGGTTTACTAAGGAAACTCTCCATCATTAAATTACAAAACTGAAGTCAGAATATCAGGCTTTCCCAGAAAAGTGGCACTCAAATTTCGGTGAGCCCAAAAGGCAGGGCGGCTGGGGGGAGGGGCGGAGGCCACAAAATGTTAAGGAGGGGGAGAAAAAAGGAGTGGATACTCAGATTTTGAATAGAAGAGGATTCAA